AATGATCACCAACCCAGAGAACTTTGATTGGAGTGACCAACATCTGATTTCTCTTTACAGTAACACAGCTGAGTCATTCATTAAGATCACGAGAATGTAGGAAATGATCACCAACCCAGAGAACTTTGATTGGAGTGACCAACATCTGATTTCTCTTTACAGTAACACAGCTGAGTCATTCATTAAGATCACGAGAATGTAGGAAATGATCACCAACCCAGAGAACTTTGATTGGAGTGACCAACATCTGATTTCTCTTTACAGTAACACAGCTGAGTCATTCATTAAGATCACGAGAATGTAGGAAATGATCGCCAACCCAGAGAACTTTGATTGGAGTGACCAACATCTTATTTCTCTTTACAGTAACACAGCTGAGTCATTCATCAAGATCAGGAGAATGTAGGAAATGATCGCCAATCCAGAGAACTTTGATTGGAGTGACCAACATCTGATTTCTCTTTACAGTAACACAGCTGAGTCATACATCAAGATCACGAGAATGTAGGAAATGTTCGCCAAACCAGAGAACTTTGATTGGAAAACAAATTCTCCTTGCCAGTACCGAAAGAAATGGATTCTGATGTTAGGGTGCACGGTAGTTAAAGGTGATGAGGATTTGAATCGCAGATTTCGACTTGCAAAACTACTTTCAACGTAAAGGAGATCATTAAGAAAGAAAAAAGCTTGTCAATGTGAAAAAAAAAAAATAAAATGGAGAATAGAAATAAAAAATTGACCGATTGTGGATTGTTTAAGCTGGCAAATATTGGTACAGATTGCAGTTAATGAATCTGAATTTTTTGGGGGGTAATTCTTCCTCGGACATAAACCATGACGTGGCTCTTTTAATTTATCTTTATATTAACTCTGATAATCATTCAAGTGTGTTTCTTTAGCGCCTATGAATCAAAACAGTTCATCTAGGTGATAAATATGTTTTTCAAGGCAATCCTAGTAATCGCGTTAAATTTTCTCCCTCGCGTATCTCAAAATAAAGGTTGGAATTTTACAATCACAACATAAACAAGGATGAACTTAAAGATCCCTCAGTATTTTGGCAGTAAAGTTGAACCTCTATCAAGCGTACACCCTTGGGGACCGCTTATATACAACTTGACCGCTTAATGCAGGTTCCATACAAGACGGGCTTTATAGAAAACGACACAACTCCATTTTACGCCATAATGGAGCACTTCATGCCCATAATCTTGCTAAAAATTACTACTTACTTAGATTTTGGAAGAGAAACATGGCTTAAGAATTACTTGAAAGATTATTCTTAGTTTTATTAGAGTAGTTCGGCTTCAAGTGTCCGTTCGATACGGGTGAAAGAAAATACAACGAGGCTTCTGGGATTATATTAAGGGTGACCGCGACCTCTTAATGGCGGTGACTGCTTAGAATAGCTGAAATTTAAAGTGATTAGGGGGAAACCAATTCGGAACTTTAGCAACCTGCTACTTCAATTCATACAGGGTGACCGCTTCATACAGGTTAGAATTGTATCATTGAATAAAATCTCGCATTCTGATTGGTTAACGAAGCGAGGTATTTAACGTCGAATTGCGAGTTGAAAACGAAACTAAATGATATTGTTTCGCTTCTACGTGTACATAATAACTTTGAATAAAGCTTATTTTTTTTCTCATTTCTATTTAATTATGCGATTCAAGGATTCATTACTTGACTCATGAATTCCGCGTTAAATTGTACTTGAAAACCGATATCGCACGAATCGCTTCGCTCGGTTTTCGCGTGCGCGCAATTGAATGCGGAATTCCCCTTGTCAAGTAATGAATTTTCCTATAGACTGTAGTCAGGACAAGGTAGAAAGCTAAGTGATAAGGTGCAACATATACATTTGGAGGGCTATCGTTTCTTGTCTACTGATCAGTGATATGGCCCTAGATCGTTAACATCGTTATCTGCAATAACAATACAGGTGGAACGAGTATTGCAATATTTTGACTGTACAATAACGCCTTATATCAGTAACATTATTTACTACAATCGCACAATTGGAACGAGTGTTGCGGTAACGTTTATTGGTTATTTTTAACTTCAGGACGCTAGAAGAAAATAATTAGAAATATTGATTGTTGCCAAACCTATTTTCCGAGGAGTAAATATAGAAAGTGATGTATGCCGGAATTATATACTGAACTAAGTAACGTGAATCATTGTTGGTATCCCGCCGACTAAGAGGTCTGAAAAA